CAACATTTCATGATGCCATCTTCATGAGTGAATAATTACATAAATAATAACATAATAGTATAAATATGGATAAATTTGACAACATCATATTCCTTTCATAAAAAATAAAAATTCATCATATTCATCATATTCCTTGCGTTAAATATAAAATTTTGAACATTGAGGTCATGGTTAGTTTTGTTACTGTGGAGTGCTTTTTTAATTCAAATGGACAATGAGGTGCCTGCAGTGTCGATCATTTTAAAGCAGGAAGGTGATTAATAAGTTTTACAAGAGTGAGATTTAAGGTGTTTGTAGATATAAAAGTTTGTGTCTGCTGTGGTATCTTCCCTGTTTCTTGTGGATTAATGGCATGCTTTTGCTTTTATGTGTAATGCTTGAGTGAATGTTAATATATGTATTCAACTGCGCGGGATGTAAATCCCGATATATTGGCGAAACTTCGTGCCATTTTTCTTAAATCTCATTCTTGTAAAACCAACTATTCATCCTATTGCTTCAAACTTATCGGAACGCTGACACCTAATTCTTTTTAAAATCAAAGAAGCACACAACATTAACAAAACTAACCCTGACCGTATGTTCAAATTTTTAGTTTCAACAATCGAGTTCTATAAATCACTGAATCGTACCAACCTCTTTTTCATCCATGTAGCACAAAGGAAAGTTTTTCACAACTCATTAAAAGCAAGAAATTAGAAGTTGAAAAAAACATTTATATTTCAAATATCCTCAAAAATGCAAATTACAAATTTGTAACATAGAATCACTTGTTTGATTTTATATAAGAGATGATTGCAATAATAACATTCATGTAAATTTAGCGTGCATTACACATTTTTTGTAAGTTACAGTATCAATAACATTGAAGCAGGGGTGTTAATATTGGAGAGGAGCGGAGGTAATTGGGTGGCTCAGCCTCCCCCTCCACTGCATACACGCAAATTAAAAGTCAGAAGTTTTTTTGAGCAATGAAATTCAATTTTTTGAAATTAAAACGGCAAAGAGAGTTACTAAAGAAATACTCGCAAAATAAAACATACAATTACTCTATGTCGTTTTGATGGGCAAATCATATTCTGCAACGTCCCACTCTCCATTTATGAGACCCAAGTTACGCCCTTGCATTCGAGTAACATTCTATTAAAAATTTTATTTAAGATATTCAAATGTTTCAACCTTTGGGCTTTTTACAACTTAACGAGCTGCACAGTTTAAACTCAATGAACTACAGAGCTTGAAAGTAAAATGTAAAAGGTAAAATGTTACGAATCATGAACGTTGTTCAAGTACTTTCACATTTAAATTGTTCTGACAAAATTCATAAAATCACCAGCAAGTTAAACACGTACGTTAATTATTGAGTGGCGTTTATTTTTAAAAAACGTTATTGATGCATTCATCGAGTAAATGGCAAGTTCAATTTCGAAAAAATGTACTAACTTCAACGCTTTGATCTGATTCAAAAGGCTTCAATAATAGCACCACAAATTATTTTTGTTTATTGCTTGAATGTTGTCCAAATGCGGTGTTTTGCTCCAGTCCAAGTATTTTTTCCAACATTCAAAGCAAAGTTTAAATTGTATTTCTATTTTCTAACATTCTTTTGTCCTATTACTTATGAAATATTTTCATTTTCTGTACTAAATAGTTTTAAAATAAAATTTTGTCTTAAAATAGCTCTTATATATATTTGTTTGAAGAATACTCGCATCGAAGGCTTGCATTTTAAATTACTTGTCATTCTTGTTGGTTGTTTACTATGTGTTGAACACATACTAGATCATAGTAAAATATTAATCCTCGAACGCAAATATTCAGACACCATTACATTTCTCCTTGAAACACATATTACTATGTGCCAGGACGCCTACAGCCTCAAAAAATGGAATATTCTAATGAAAACTTCCATTCCTAAGCACAGGAAAAGCCTCGTAAACACAATAGTGTCCAGGCAATATTCAATCTACTGATTGTTGAACGACACAAGCCTATACAGCGTTTTACGAATATTCTGACCATGCAACTTGTCGTTTTGCGTTTTGTCCAAGTGATGCATTCAAATTTTCACAAATGCCTCGTTCAGCGCAACATTTAATCAGTTCATAAGCATGATTGATATTAATTATTGACTCTAGCACATCCTCATCTAACATGCTGAAGACTTTTTCTCTATACACACACACAACACCGTCACAGCAATTGCACTGGATATGTTTGCTGTATGTGGCAAGTCATTATGACAGAAATTCACCATTCTCATCACGCATTTCTCTGTTTTCTGACGCAATATTAAAAGATCGTCAGTTGGTATTTGTAAACCACCATTGCTCTTCCACTTCACAAATATTTCTAGTGCTCTCTCTTTAGATGACGTCAGGGCATCAATTCGATCATCACAATGGATCTTCCTTTTCAGCATTTTTGCGAAATATCCTGCGATATACAATATTGCTGCCTCCTTGTATTCTTAAAGCTGAATGTAGTTTGAGGCATCGCAGTGATCGTATTTGGTTTGTTCTGGTACAGGCAGTTCCAAATCATATCTTCTTGCAGTAGTCACATTGGAAATATCTGCCAACATTTGTTCACTGTTCTACTCTACTTAGAATTTCGGTGACACCTGGGCAACACAATTTCCACAACCTCCTTTAATGTTATGTCGCATCAACAGCTGCTTGTACGCTACTTTGAACTGTCGAGATTTTGGGTTGTTGTTCCTCCCTCCTGACGCTCGCATAGCTGAAAAAACAATTCCAAATAATCTTGACTTGTCTTATATGTAAGCAAATACTTAAGGGTAGGATTTTCGTTTATAACAAGATCATCAGCAAGTCCCTGCACCACCCTCAGTGCTCAAATGAAACCCAAGAAATCCTGTTTTCCACTTGTGGGAAAAGATAGACTTTCCATTGGCAACCTTCAGATTTTTGATGTACTGCCTTGCTTCATCCAGGAAGGTTTTTATCAACATGTAATTCGCTTTCCTTATTGGTGCTTTGTAATTTTTAGCAATTGGTTTCCTGGAATTTAAAACGTCAAAGAAGTAATCAAATACTCGAATGAATTTGACGGTTTGTTCTCATCCTTTAAACTGTGGAAGTTTGAACTTATCTTCACAGTGTTCCAAAGCATGTGCAACACTTGCACTGAGTGCTTGTACTGCTAAATTTATCTTCACAGTGCGCTGCTATTTAAATTTCAGGACATTTGGGTTTCATTAGTATTCCTTAAAATTGTATTATTTTTATAGTTAGTAAAAGGCTAGCTGCACATCTGAACATAAAAGAAAACTAGAAAAACAAATATTTTGCTTTTTACTCGTAACTGATTCGGAAAAGATCTTATTTCTTGAGCAATTGTACATAGCATTGACACAAAAGCGCTAATTATTGGCCACACCAGTTAGGGGAAATGTTGTAAGAAGGCTAAATATGTGCCGAGAGCAAGATTCCAAATGACCAATATCTTAAGTAGTCAATCAATATTTGCAAAAACCTTCGTTAAGATATGCTGAATTAATGCTCTGGGTATGATGAATGGTTAGGAATCGAGAAAGACTGAGACTGCAATTACAGTTTTATGTGGATTTCATATTAGGTAATAACTGAACTTCTAAAATTTCACCCTATTTGAACTTTGTAATACATACGGCTTGCTGTCTTGGCTGCTGTGTCACCATTCTTATAGTTTTACTGTTCTACTTTTTGGTGTTGTTGTAATAAATTTTCAGTGCATGTAGAATTCAACAGTTCATAATGTAACAATTTCACAGCTACATAGTTATACATTTTTACTAGTAATCTTACTCTAGTGATCTATGAAATAAACCAAATGCAACATAACATGACAGTTGCTATGTGTGCTTTGTTTTAGTTGTTGTTAGAAGTGCAGAATGATTATACTGAACAATCAAAGAATAAATTAAAGCAGTTAATGGGTTGAAAAATTATTCGTAAATTTCTACATTCATTATAGTAAATATAGCAGGATTACACCCTTTGTTATAAGATCTAGTGTTAGTAAATCAAAAATAAACAATTCAAATCACTTATTTGAAATATTTAAATTTGACAATTATCTATAAATTTTTCCTAGAAAATCTCAGGCATGATCAAAAATTTCACAAATGGGGGATTTCTTTTTCAATATGTGTTAAAATTCAACAATATTTATTGTGACTAAGGTCGTGACTTCCGATTTTCTAATAACTATAAATAATCACTTTTCCCCATGAACACAATCGTGTATAGGATACCCAACTCCTTCCATTCGGTTTTTATAATAAAAATTGTTAATTAGCCTACAATGTATCTTAATGCATTTTTCACAGATGGGATGATCATAGTCTTTTTAAGCTTGCCCAAATACGCCGCCGTTTTTTTCTTGCGTTAACTAATTCAATAAAAATAGTTTAAACAGGAAACGTGGTTACACAACAAACAGAAATTGCAATTAAGAATCAACTAGGAATTATAAACAGATACACAAATAAACAACATATCAACAAAATACTGTTTTTTTAAACCAACTAAAATTCTTAACCACGGTGTTTTAGAGTGTACTCTCATCCTATCACATCATGAATTTTACTATAAAATATATTACTCAATCTTATATGATTTCTGAGAGTATGTCCTAATATAGTACCATAGGGCACAATACCCATTACAGTACGTAATTGCTACTTGTCCAAAATATTCATATTCAATAATGCGAAAAAATAAATCTGTTGAAAATTCTTAATAATGGTAATTCACAATGACTCTACTAATGATTTATTAAATTTTGGAATATTTTTAGCCGTGCTGTGCATGACTAGCATGACCCTCAACTACACGACTGGGTTTCTTGAAAAGTTTTGATACCATTGATTGAAAATTATTGAGGGCACTAGATCCCATTCAAAAAATATAACTCTTATTATCCTTCTATCTAAAGTATTTATTAGAGACCACTGTTAATAATATTTGTATTCACTGTTAATTCTCCCTCTTTAGGAAAACCGACAACATACTTTAGCCTGTGAAATGACGTTAGAAAACATCACTTTAAGTAACGTTTGGATATTTATGATCATGCCAGTCTTCATTTTTGGATTAGCCAGAAACTATTTAGCAAAACTAGTAAAAAAATTGGCAAAAGCTCTCTTTGCTTTTACAATGTACTTTTTTACAATATTTTATAACTACCAGATGAGTACTAAAAAGAAAGAGCTTTTTGCATCTATGAAAAATCATCTAAAAAACGTCGAAGGAAACGTCTTAGAAATTGGTGTAGGCACAGGAGCAAACTTTCAATTTTATCCTCGTGGTACGTTTATAACTGCCTTGGATCCAAACCCTCACATGAATTATTATCTACGCCACTCCAAGAGTTACTATCCACACATTGTTCTGAAGGATTATATCGTTGGATCAGCTGAAGACATGAGATGCATTCCTGATAAATCTATGTCAGCAGTTGTCTCGACATTAGTGCTGTGCTCAGTAGAATCGGTAGAGAAAGTTTTGAAAGAGATTATTCGTGTCCTAAAACCAGTAAGTATGTGAGACCTAAAATTTCGCAAAGAATGTCTAAAAATTAGTATAAATATGATTCAAAATAAATGAGAATATTTCGAGCAGTTATGCTTTGGTAGAATAATGAATAAGGTTGTCGCTTTTGAATGTGTTGCTATAAGACTCTAAACATTTGCATATTTTTTATTAAACATTTCAAACATCGTAATTTTCGAAGACAAAGCATATGTTTGTGCTTTTTATATTTATTTTTATTTTGTATATGTTCCTCCAAAAATTGATTTAACATGAAAACAGTAGTTTTACGAGCCTTATAAACGAGCCCCAACGCTTATCGAATATTAGTTAAAAGAGCAACCGCTGAGTGCGAGCGAAGTCGCAAAATGTCTCTGATTTCTGGTGATGTCAACTGAGCCATAGTGTATTAGTACTTTATTGCGGCAACACTGTATTTACCTGCCAAGCTTAATTTTTTCAAGCATGCTTTCATTTATTTTCCTAATTCTAGATATAAACTCATTCTAAGGGCCTCCTCGTATGAGCCGGGCTAGCCAGGCAATAGCAAGATCTCAACACTTTTAGTATTTACATATAATCTCAAATTTGCTTCCTATTACAAGCGGGCTGGCCCGTCTTGCCGGGATTTTGCTTGAGCAAAACGGGATGGCGGCAAAACGGGGTCATGTTAATACACCAGGCGAGCTAGCCCGGCTTGCCTGGCAAAACATCGTGAATTTCATATCAATGCAAAATAGAGGGCAAGCAAAAAAACAACTTTTGGCGGACCATAGACTAATCTTAGAATAACATAATGGTTATGTAATTATCACATGACTTATGTACTTCTGAAATACTATTCACTATTATCACATGTGTTCCGTTAACATTGGTGTGAATCCCTTTGTCTAACGTTATAGATACTTTATCAGGTTATGGGCCCAGTAGCGCCGAATAAGCTAATTTTTTGAAAGTCAGGAAAGTCAGTGAAGTATTTACGCTAAGACTAATATTTATTTGATTTTATTTGCCTCTAACAAAAAGGTGTGCAATAGCAACGGTTATTAAGCATGGCGGAAACCGTAGCGAAAATCAAGCATTTAATTGGAAAAACTACCAATCATGGAAATATAATATGAAACTGGTATGGATGGAGCGCAGTTTATGGCGATTAGTTGAAGAAACCGAGGATGTCCCAGGGGGAATCGGCCAGTAATGCTGTACGAAGTGCTTATCGTTTGAAATCTGATAAGGCTTATTCGTTAATCGCGCTAAATGTAGAAAAGAATCTCCAAATTCATATTTCAGCTGCCACGAATCCTAAAGAAGCCTGGGAGACATTGAAAAAAACAATTTGAATGCGTTTCCATAGTTCAAATTGTACAAAATAATTAAAGATTTTATGCGGCGACAACGCAGGAAGAAACTGATTTCATGGAGCTTTTGACATACATGAATTAACTAGCACAGAAGCTACGAGACCTAAACAAAATAATCTCACCACAAAAGTTGGCAACAGTTGTACTTGGTAGCCTCCTTGACTCATACGACAACTTTATCTTGAGTCCAAACGAAACGAAGACGAATGAGTTGACTTGGGAAAATATAAAGGGTCTACTCATAGAACAATACAAAAAACGGGAAGGCAAAGAGCAGAAATACGAAAAACATGGTGGAAATGAAGCCCTGTTCTCAAGAAAAGGCAATTGTTCATTTCGAGAAAGAAATCGACATTGTCATGGTGATCATAAAAGGGGAAAGTTCAGAGAGAATTTATGTCAAGAATCTGGATTCTGGATCAAGTCAAAGACCAAGTTGGTCGAAAAGTTGGACACATAGCAAAGAATTGTCTACTCAATCGTAAAACCGATCAATCAAATCTTGTTGATGCAAATAAAAAAACAGGAAATAAAATAGCCGTTAATTCCTGCTCAATTTCTTCAAATGATGTAAACTGGTTCATTGATAGTGGAGCAACGAAACATATCACATTTTAGCAAGATTTGATGTATGACTATACTGAGTAAAAGAAGCCATGAAAAGTATACCTTGGTGGCAATAAAACCATTGATGCATATTGTAAAGGAAAAGTCAAAGTTCCGTGTTATGATGGATCTAATGTTGTCCAACTTCCATTAAGTAATGTACTGTATGTTCAAGAGATTTCAAAAAATTTAATAACACTACCTGAAATGACTCATCTTGGAGCTAAAGTATCATTCGACCAAGGACGATGTGCTATAGGATAGAAGAAGCATAACCATAGGACATAATCTAGATGACAAACACAGGAATATGCACAAGTAGCTGAAACTAATGCACCGTCTTTACAAAAATAGCACTGTAGACTTGGTCATGTAAATTACTCATATTTGAATAAGATGGTTAAAGAAAAAGTAGTCTATGGCCTGAAGTAAATAAATTGAACAAGGAATGCGAAGCTTGCGCTCAAAGAAAAATGCACCGTTTACCATTCCCCAAGAAGAGTGTCAATAAAATAAATCAACCACTTTAATTGAAGGCAGTAATCTTTGTGCTCCAATGAGTGTTGCCTCAACGGGTGAAAGTAAGTATGTGTTAACCATTACGGATGATTTTACCACGTATGTGAAAGTGCATTTCCTCAAACGTAAAGCAGAAGTATCTTCAAAGTGTAAAAAATTTGTGTGCATGGTAAAGAATGAATTTGTCACAAAAGTTAGAACAATAAGAACTGAAAATGGTGGGGATTATGTTTCTGAATCATTTCCAAAATTCTGCATTCACAAGAGAATCAAACATCAATCATCCAACTTGTATACCCCTGAACAGAATAGAGTACCAGAAAGGCTAAATTGAGCATTGTTTGAAATGGGTCGCTCAATAATTTTTCATGCCAAACTACCACCTCAATTTTGGCAGAAGTTATTAATACTGCCGTCTATCTACATAACTGTAGTGCAAAAAAGGCCCTGAAGAATCAAACACCACTCGAAAGATGGTTGAGAAATCAACCAGACGTATCGAATTTAAAAGTCTTTGGATGTGTATTTTTCTTGCATACTCCAAACAGCCTTCGAACCAAGCTAGAAGCAAAAGATAGAAAAGCAATATTCTTAGGTTACAATGAGGACACAAAGGGATACAAGTTGTATGAATTGGAAACAAAACAGTTCATAAAAAGTAGAGATATCCTATTTCATGAAGATGAGTTTCATTCATTTTAAGATATAAGTTGCATTGATATTATTCTGTTCTCTCCAACATGAAAGATAATGAAATGCCACCATGAAATGTAATTGGTCATGAAATTTTTCCGCTCCAGAAAGTCCTGTCGAGAATGTCCCTTCAGTTGGAGCAACCTTCGAAGAAAATTTTATGCGCCAAGTAGAAAATATTGGTCCAGTCAGGCAAGGAAGGGTACCTATAAGATATCCTACAGATAAAGGTATGGTAAGTAAATCATCAACACACGAAAATAAGGAGATCAGTATGCTCAAAAAAGCAATAATAAGCGCTAACAAAGGAAACTGGAAAGACGCATTGGAAGAGGAATATAATTCCTTATTAATCAACGAAACATGGGAATTGGTGCCAACACCAAAAAAATGGAAATATAATTTGTTCAAAATGGGTGATGAAAGTAAAGCGTGACGCTAATCGAAATATTAATCGATACAAAGCGAGACTGGTTGCACAAGGCTATTCTCAAACAGGCGGTGTCGATTTTGAAGAAGTGTTTCGCCTGTCGTTGAGTATTAGAGCATTAGAACATTACTTGCCTTGGTGAATTTGCATAGCATGGAAATACATAAAATGGATGTCAAGACCACCTTTTGAGCAGAGTGATTGCACATGAGATATTTATGACTCAACCGGAAGGTTTTGTGGATGCCAACCATCCTGACTATGTCTGTAAGCTAAAGAAGAGCTTATACGGACTAAAGCAGTCCGCAAGATGTTAGAATAAAACACTGAACAATTTCTTAATCTCAAAAGAATATCGAAAAGTGGTGCCGACAATTGCATATATGTGAAGACTAAGAAAAAGCCTTTGCGATCCTGACAATTTATGTTGATGACACAATTCCTGTGTTGAACGATGTCGACATGCTTAATGTCGAAAAGAAACTGCTTTGCGAATGACTTAAAATTTTAGACCAGGGAGAAATTCAATTTTTCCTTAGAATGGCGATCAAAAGAGATCAAGCTACAAAGATATTATTGATAAATCAAGAAAAATACTTAGAAAATATTCTTATTCCGTTGGGAATGGAAAACAGCAAACCAATATTTACACCATTAGAAGCTAGCAAAAGGTTCCAAAAGGGAATCGAAGGTAAAGAGAAAGCGACCAAACCACTTATCAGTAAATAATCGGATGTTTGACATTCGTCTCAACTGCCACAAAGCTAGATATTTCAGCATTAATTGGAATTTTGTCAAAGTTTATGTCATATCCAAGAAAAAATTCGTCTTCAAGGAGTAAAGCGAATCTATAGACATATACAAGGAACAGTGAAATATGGTCTGAAGTTCAGCAACGACGCAGATTGCAGTTTACAAGATATTTCAGATGCTGATCATGATGGAGACCTAGATAATCGATGTTTAACGTCTGAATATGTTTTTAAAGTAGCCAACTAAACCATCAGTTGGAACAGCAAGAAACAATCTACCACCGCAAGGTCAAGTACCGAAGCCGAATACATATTGTTAAGTCAAGCTTCTCATGAAGTAATCTGGATACGACGATTACCTATTAACTTGGGGTGGAAACCAGAATCACCAACAATTATCTACAAGGATAATCAAGGAGCGATTGAAATCGCACGGAGCACTAGATTCCATAATAGAACCAAACATATTGATGTGGCATACCATTTTGTCCATGAACGAAAAAATGCGAAAGAAATTGAATTAAATATTGTGCATTAAAATACAAGATAGCAGATATCATGACCAAAGGATAATGTAAAGATCAATTTGGAAAATTTAGAAACTTATTGAACGTTCAAATATGTTGAAAACTGTTACCACATTACATAGCCATTAAGTGGGAGTGTTATAATAACACAATGATTATGTACTTCCAATATATAATTTATTAATATTACATGTGTTCCGTGAACATTGGTGTGAGTCTCTTTGTTTAATGTTATAGCTATTTTATTGACTAATAAACAAAATCAATGAGTTTCTTTCAGCTTATGAAAGTAACATGAAATGTTGGGATTTGGATTTTATTCTACGTGCGTAATTAACTATTGCCCGCCTCATATGAACTGGCCCTAAGATTTTAAATTTTCATAATAACTCAATACATGCTTATCTTTTTTCAGGGAGGTCGCTTTTACTTTCTTGAACACGTCAAAGGTATTCATTTATGATTTTCATAGCTAACTGGTGTAGTAGCTAAATGTCTTTTCATATTAGTAACGAATCAGTGCTTCTTTACGTTAAGTTTCTTTACGCCATTATGCTAAGGCTATTCTTTGCATTCATGTCATTTATATGTTATTTATGAGAGAGATTAATGACACTAAATTTATCAAAAACGTCATACTCAACTTCTCACTATTCTTTATAAAGTATATTAGGCATCTATATGTTTGGGTAAACGTTTGTAAAAAGGTATTTTTTCAATACGGGAAATGGGAAATATTCGTATCATTTTTCAAGTTCAATCGTCTTTAAAGAAAACATTAGTTCTTTGTTATTAAGAAAATTGAATTGAAGCTGGAAATTCAGAGAAGAAGCTAGATCTGTTGTCTTAACAATACATTGTTTAGAAGTTTTAAAAGCTGTTAAAAAAACCCTTGTATAAAGTGTTACTTCTATTGGTCACATTTTTTCATTTATTCGGACAGAGATTTTCAAATCACAACAATGTGATATTAGCATATAATTTTTAATATTGCAATTTTTGTTATAAAAGTACATTTTAAATGATTTTTTGTGAAAGTTTTGTTTTGAGCGTAAGATGTCTTCACCATAAATAATATGTTGAGCTTTTTGTTTAAGTACGATGATTTACAACCGAATCAAATGTAGATGTTTGGCATGTCTAATGAGTCAAGAACGCCATCGCGAAAGGTGGCAAAAAGCAAAACTCTTCATTCTTAATTGAAAAGTAAATAAATAAGCGCTTAAATAATCACCGTTATCAAGTATTTTAAATACGAAATCTAGACTGTCATAATTGAATCTGCATATCTCCAAACTATAAATCTCTTCAGTTCAGCCCCTTTTCAGGGTCTGGCTTGCCTTACGTAAGGCCATCAAGTTTTGGCGGAGTCAAGTATCTAGCAGATTAAGTATAAACTTGTGTAAGACAGAATGAATCTTACTCTATTCCATTTGAAAATTAGAATTACACATTTATTAAATGCACCAGAAAAAATATGACGAAGATTTTAACTGATACAATTGGTACAAGTGAAATCCAACGTTGAAAACAGATCTTACTCTGCAAAAACTGACGGTTAGATATAATCAAAAAATAGGTTGTTTAGATGACTCTGAGTTTACCAATATATTATCTTTGTACTATCAACCCTAGTATTAATCCTTAGGATTAGTATTATGATTATTCTCTGATGAAGGCTTTGTACAATTAAATATAAGATAAAAAAAACTTTTACTTTGGTTACATCATATGAAATAGGTGAATATAACAATGAAGTATAGGTTGTACTAGTACAAATAAGTAAGTTTAACCTATCAGTTTTTACAGTATAAGTGTCCTGTTTTATGTAAGTGATTGTAAAAAAGCAGCTTTTCGTGCTGATTAAAAGTTTAAGCCTAAAAACAAGCTTAACTCAATTTTATAACCTTTAACTAAAGAAACTCTTTCTTATAAGATTTTGTAAAAATAGACTTTTTAGTTGCATCAAACTAATAATATAATCACATAGAGTGACGCTTTATCACGATTTTTAGCAACATTTTTGTGTACTTTATTTTAGGCCTATGACGTAAAAAACAAGTACAGCCCTTGACTATTCTTTTTTAGAGTGTATAAAAATCATAGTATAGCTTGAACAATATTAAATGCATTTAGAAAATTGTTTGCTTTTGCAGATGTCCGCAAAAAACCTTTCGACTCCCATGCATTTTTTGCAGTTAGCATAAAAACAATATAACAAAGCTCCATAAAATTTTTTTAACCTACTTTCATAGTTTCACCGTTAAGACTTAAACGATAAGCGATAAAAAATAAATCCAGAAAGAGCTATCCTAAAGCTAATTACAATTGAACAGCTCATGGTTTAAATGTTATTGCCAATTGTATAAAGGCGATCAAAGGAAAAATGAGTAAACATACAATTTTCCTATAATTATATAAATATTAAAACAAAACGACAGAACTGGAGCTAACCTTGTCAAAGTCATTACCTATACTTAATTATAGCCTATACTTATGTAAATAATGTATTTACTTGTTATTTTTTTTTGAAAAGTTATATGTACTCGTATAAACAAATGTTGAATTTTCTTATATCGGTATTTGAATTTTATGCACAACGAAGTTGTGAAAGAAAAACATTTTTGCCTAAACTTCAGAAGGTCTGATTTGATAAACGGTTTTCTTTACTAATGATATTAGTGCATTTGAGACATTTGCATATTGACTAGCACCGCCGATGTTGGATAGCATTCAATAGCATTAAAGGAAGCAGAAAAACTGTTAGATCCACCCGTGTTCACTTCGTTTGAAAAAATTGTCCAACATCTTGTACACAATTCAGATCCAAATTTTTCTTTTAAAAGTTATTTTACAAAATGCTTGGGCAATAATAAGATAAATAGGTTCAGTTTACATTATATGTATCATTCCCAATTTTGTGCATTGTGCTAATTTATAAAGGCCGTGTAGACGTTTGCAGCTCGAAATCTTTAGCAACTTAAGTATAAAAAATATGTCAAAGGCATTTTTCTGGAATGTATGTTTTATTAGCTTTCTAATGAATGATATAGATTTTTAGCGTTATATAAGTCTTTCGTATGAGCTCCGAACGTGAGTTCAATGTACTAGAACGCTATTAAATTTTGTGATTATTTTATTCACTAGCGAAGAAGTTATTTACAACAGTCGTGAGTATTCTATATCTTACAATTTATTTACAGACTTTATATATTTGGCTAAACAAGGTACATTTATTACAAGGCGGATAATGTACTTGGAATTTGAGTAGTTTTACGTAATTACAAAGTTAAGTGCGTAAGTTTAAGTAGTACGTTTGAGTAAGTGTAGGATTGGCTATTTCCTCTATTGCTAATACATAAATCTAGATGAATAATATACGCACGTTATGTACGTCACTAGAGATTTACTTGGAATTATCATGTGTTCAAGTACAGCCAATCAACATTTGAGTAGATAAAACCCCCCACCTTCAATTCAGTGTGCTGTTAGCTCAAAAAGTAAAACTTAAACATGAACAAAAGCGCACAAAGCATTGTCATGTAAAAGCACTTAAAATGCTCAAATGGCTATGATTCATTTACCTTTTTTATCTTTAGGAAATGGCTATACTTTGATTTTACAAAAATTTAACCAACCCTGGTGGTTTTATCTTTCTGATGGGTGTTCTTTAATGCGGGAAATCGAAGTATCCATAAGAAGAGCCGGATTTAAACACGTCCACTGTCAGTGTTTTGAAGCAAAACGTGTAGGAGCTCTTATAAAGCCGCATATCATGGGTTGCGCTGATTTGTAAACAACAATCATGCACGTATTTTGCTAGGTCTTCAAAATAGAATTCTCTGATATAATTTAGAATGGATAGAAGTAGTATTGGGTAGTCATTTCACCTGTAATTAATGTTTTACTTAGTTTGAGGATAAATTGAATAATTGGCTTCATTTTAATTTGAAAATAAAATATCAAGCAAGCTTTCTGCAAGGTTATATATTTCAAGGTTATTCTCAAGCTCAATCATCCGACTTCACTGTTATATAAACTAAAGATTTTTTGATTTTGACTACTGTTAGTGCGCTACCATGTATGAGTCAGAGATCTGGATTCCAAAATCATATAAGTTTTTGGACAGCTAAAACAAAAAACAACATGTTTACAGCATATTTGAACATACTTACAACACATTTGAAATAGAATAATTTAAACAAACCTTCTGTCAAATGTGACAACCGGCAACATTTTTATGTCATTCTCACACCGAAACGGACTAATTACTCGAATTCTGTAGCTAAATTGAGAAGTCTCTTTGTACAGCCGCAAGCTGTGAGGCGATTTTAGCTTATTTGACAATCGTATTCTCCACAATGGTGATGACCCTGTGGTTTACAGGCTTGAATTGGAAAATCTTCTTAATAAACTGATCCAGACCTCCCACAAAATGCCAAGACTTCGTTGGTGGAACGACAATATATGAAGGGTTGCCCTCGATATTGAAATATAATTTGCTCAAACACAGCCCAATACCAAACGTGGATCAGATGGTTGATTTTGTGCAACGGTATCGTGCTATTAAAAGTCATTCTTCTCCCTCTTCTACAATCAATGTAAACTGCACTGGTAAACGCCCCGCAGCAAATGATGACTCACAGCTTTTGCAACTAATGTCTATGATTGCTGGTATTGAGAAAAAACTAAACTCCTTGGAGGAATGGCTTAAGCAGAACACTTCAACGCAGAGCGAGGCAAGTGGTCAGCGTTCAGTAAAATGTTTTACTTGTAGGCAAATTGGTCCTATTTCGCGCAATTTATCGCCAGAAGCGTACGCTCAGGATTTTTGAAACCGTCATTCATCTACGCTCACCTGTTTTTCTTGTGATTAGCCAGTATATATTGCCCCTGCACGAATTTCCCTGTTCGTGCTCTCATTGACGGTAAATAAAGTCTTTCTCAATTGTTAAAATTGAGCACAAGATTAAACTTGATAGCTGGCTAGGCAATTGATAGTAAAAGTTTGGGATGAATATTTTCTATTCTTTCTCAAGAATTAACATATTATTTGTGGTTTGAAAAGTATTTCCTAGTTGAACAGCATTTGCCTCTCTCTTAATGATGTGACGATCTTCTCAATTTCTCTTCAAATTGCCAATACGCTTCTTGTTGCCAACATTATATCAATTACTTGTTGTTAATCAAAAATATATATCCTTAAACTTCCACAAATATTATTTTTTCAACATTTCAAGATAATAGAACAATTTTAGAGGCAGACTTGGTGCAAGTCTTCGTTAACTTTTGCAAACAAGTAGCCTTGTCAAAGAGTCTTTGTTGATTTTTAGTTTCTTCAAACCAATTACTTTGTCTAAATTTGATACATAACACATTTTTATATATAATGTACAATATTTTTAAAACTTGCTAAATAAATATTTTCATTGACACTATTATTCACATAGTTTTGCTTAAATGCAGCAAAAACAATGATATATGTCAGAGAAACCATCACACTTCAAATACAAAAGTCAAAGTTTTCAAATGAAATAATGTAGTTCTGTTCTGCAAATCAGCAGTTCATCCAAGATCGTCTAATATAGTATTCAATGCTTTAGCAACATCTTGGCTAAAATTATCATAGATTTATAATCAGCAATAGCATTATATCATAATATTTTAAGTTCTGTTCTTATATCTTAGCAAGTTCAAATTGTTGTCTTACCATGTACTCAATACAACATCCAAAATGAATATATGATATCTGCTAATGTCTAAACAATGTTTACTCAAAATTTAATGACAACAAATTTAGCCTAGATTCAACTAGCAGCTGACGTACCCTAGGACACTTTCTCATGCTTTTAAAACAAATTAATCAATAAAGATATTGTAATAAGCTTGAACACAATACATTTACGGTTCAACTGACGAATGCCGTCTTGTGCCGTGTTATTTTGATTAAAATTGTCGTGGAACAAGAGAAAGGTTTCTTTAATGTAAAATTTTCTACTTATCAATATATATGCATTCCATAAAATGCTAAAGCATACCATTCAATAAAGAACGTTAAGGATTTATTTTATTATCGGGATTGTTTTTACTTATTGTAGGTATTTTGTACTGAATCGAAATCAGGAGGGAGTGAATGATAAAATAAATTTTTCAAGTAAAAATTTTCACCCAAAATTTCCTTTTGGCATCCATGTTTTTGACAACAGTTCCCAGGCCCCGTTGTATATCCAGTTAGTTTAATCGAAATCAATTAGCGTTTTTCGATAATTTTCTCATACCACCTAGGACTGAAATGATTTTAACGGGGAAACTGGCCAGACGTGCAAAAATTCAAGTAGGTATGATATTGTCACGCTCTATTGCCTCCTATGACACCAGACAGGGGCTTAGTTAATTCGTGCAGTCCTTAACCCGTACAAAAAACACGTTGCACCTTTACGCGCTATTAGTATGTGTTTACACTAGATTGAATTGGTTGGGGGTAAAAAACTCGCTGAATTTTATCCTCTGGTCAAATCGTGCTGTCACTCCTTGCTTTGCGCATCTGTAAGGCTTAATATGTCGAAAAATTTGTTTTGAAAAACTGAAACCTGTTACTGACCATTCCCCATCGCCTGAAGAAAAAAAGAGTACATGTAACCCGACAGTGAAAAAATTATGCAGATTTTTTTAATAAAATTCTGTGACATACGACTGCTGCCACGAATAAGATTAATACAGTGCGTTTCTTACCCATAAAGAAAACACGTCGCCGTTTGCCATACAGTTATAGGGAGGAGGCTAATTATTAAATGAACGAAATGCTAGAATATGACGTAGAGTATCGTAGAATTTTTGGGTATCGTCCCCCTGCCCCTCCTAGTGGATATTCAGTTGTGTATTAGCGTAGTGTTTTAGAACATTCCTAAGGATATTTGCGACCTATCCCGTGGAGCATTACGTTGGAAGAGTTTGGGAGTGTTTCCCAGATAACTGAATTTTATTATTAAATATGTCTTTTACATGCTCAGGTTAATGAGATTTTTACACCAGACTTTCTGAACTAAATTGCCATGTCCCAAAAATATTTTTATCTCTCCATGAAGTGATAAGTCTGTTTTGTAAGCAATTCTATAAAATTTGTAAGAAGGAATTTCAACAGGTGATCTATAATAGAATTGATATTTAGCAAAGTAGTGAACAAATCATGATTTTGATGTTGTTTCTTTAGTTTTTCATATATGACTATTTTTAAAATAAGCCTTTTTTTATAAAGTTTATTTTTAAGTTGTTTTTATCATTTTTATTGTATTTTTTCTAAATACGACTAATGTTCAATAAAAGTTTGTAGTACTTTTTTAGCAAATTAGTGCAAAAATTTTGATCTCAATATTTTTCGATTACTTTATAATTATATTTTATTTTTTAAATATTTAATTTTTTTTAAGAAAGTGTATTATTTTTACGTTTTCGAATAAAATTTATTGTAATTTTATTAAATACAACTAATTTTTAAAAAAAATTTGCTACCTTGATATCTAGAAAACTAATGTAAAAGTTATGATTTTAATGTTTTTTGATTACTTTATAAATTTATGTTTATATTTTTAAAAGAAAGAAGTTTTTTAAGAAAGTGTTTTATTTTTATGTTTTCTTCTAAATTTTATTATAATTTTACTAAATGCAACTTATTTTGAATAAAAAAGAATAGTCATTTTCTAGCAAAATAGTGCACAAGTCATGATTTTAATGTTGTTTGATTATTTTTTAAATCAATCCCTTTTTTAAAATAATTATTCTTTTATAAAAATATTTTATTTTTAAGTTTTTTTATTATTTTCATTATAATTTTATTAACTGCAACTAATTTTAATAAAAATTTGTAGTCTTTCTCACTTAGCAAACTAGTCTAAAAATTATGATTTTAATACTGTTGATTACTTATATATTAAATATATATTTATGTTTTTAGAAGTAATAATTTTTATAAAAAAAGTGTTTTATTTTTACATTTCTCAATAGACTTTATTTTGGTTTTAATAAATGCAACTAATTTTGAATGAAATAGAGTAGTCCATTTTTTGCAAAATAGTGCACAAAACAAACTTTTTAATATTGTTTGATTATATTTTGTATAAATAACTTTTTTTAATATGATTATATTTATAAGAAAATGTTTATTTTTAAGTTTTTTTGTCATTCTTATTGTAATTTTTTAAATGCAACTTATTTTGAATAAAAATGAGTAGTCCTTTCTTTAGCAAACTATTGCAAAAACGATGATTTTAATGGTGTTTGATTAGTTTTTATGTATGACTATTTTTTAAAATAAGCTTTTTTAAAAAGTTTTATTTTTAAATTTTTTTTATCATTTTTATTAAATTTTTGTTAAATACGACTAATTTTTTCAACAGTCAGTTTTTTTGAGAAAGTGTTTATTTTTATGTTTTTCAATAAATTTTTTCTAATTTTATTAAATGCAACTAATGTTGAATAAAAATGAGTAGTCCTTTTTTAGAAAAATAGTTCAAAAATCATGATTTTATTGTTGTTTGATTACTTTTTATTAAAATCACTATTTTCTAAACAAAATTTATTTTTAAGAAAATGTTTTATTGTATTGTTTTCAATCATTTTTATTATATTATTCTTAAATACAAACACGTTTTAATAAATATTTGTAGTCCTTCTGTTTTAGCAAACTGATGCAAAAATAATGATTTTTTTTGTTGTTTGCTTACTTTATAGTTATATCTTTATTCTTTTAAAATACTTAATTTTTTAAGAAATTGCTTTGTGATTTCAATGTTGCTTGATTATTTTTTTATATAAATCTTTCTATATGAAGAGCATAAAGGATGTGTGATTCACGACTTTGAGTTTGACAGAGATTGGGTGGAATGGCAAATGCGATCTGCTATAGAAGACGAAATGCCAATATTGCTCAACGTTGAGTACGAATTCGTAAAGGTAAGAAAAAAATTGTAGTTTTTGTATCACGTAGATA